ACGGATTACTGATGTGGCCTCCCCTTAGCTGCGTGATTCAACAATACCTAAAAGTGAGGATATTTCCATGTGAAATCTATAAAGTTCAAAACTTGGTAGGTGAACAAGAATTAGCAACTAAGGCTATGAAACCTATTTTTCATCTGTCATATGAATATGGAACAATAATTCAAAAACACATAAGTTCCTCTTGTTATTCATAGAAAGAGTTGATAGTTTTAACTGAACCATTAAGGTGCACTTGTATTGATCATGGCCTAGAATGATGATCTCTACTTAATGTCCACTCCATTAGGATGTGTGTATTCAAAAGGCAAAAGTGAACCTAATTTTTGGAACTCCTTGAGTGATTGGACTAGGATTCTTATGGAGTACGATTTATAGTAGACCTTTGTAGCAAGTAACCAAGATATGTTACACTTTGAAATGTTTAGGCCAAATGAGGATATGGTGTGGACAAGAGGTGTGATACACTTGAGAAATTATTAAATTAAAACTAGTAAGCACTAGAATTTAATGCCCTAGACTAAGAATTATATGAGGATTTATTCTTCTTATAGAAACTCATTTGATTATATTATCTTCTTGGACTCACCTTCGCCTTCTTGCCTTCATATCTTGATTGCTTTTCTTCTCCTTGTAGACTACCCTTTGCATAAGGAATTAAATTCTTATACCTTATTGGTCCTCATTTAGCGAGAAAAAGAGATAGAGTTGAATAGACCTACACAATACGAATGGCTTTACCTTTTTAAAAAATACATAATTATGTTCCCTCCTATTATATGTAATGCATCCTTCCCATAAGTAAATACAACAGCAACAAAAACATCAAGCCTTTATCTCACTATGCGGCGTCAGTAATATGAATCCTTTTTCTCCATCGTGCCCTATTAAAAGTTAAATTCTCATTTAAATCAAATAAAAAATATCATGTCTAATATTTTTTAACCAAGTCTTTTTAGGTCTACCTCTATATTTTTTAACATAAGTCAAATTTAATATATCTATTTTCCTAACTGAGTCATCAAAAAGCCGCCGTTTTATGTGATCAAACCATCCAATGCGACTCTCTCTAATCTTATCTTCCATTAGAGCTACTCCAACATTTTCATGTATATGCTCATTTTGTATCATGTCTCTAAGAGTAAAGCCACTCATCCACCTAAGCATCCTAATCTCTCCAACTTAATATAATGTTTCTCTTTTAATGGCCAATATTTTATACCATAAAACATTGTAGGTCTAACCACCATCTTATAGAATTTTCCCTTAAGTTTGAGGGGGGCTTTTCTATCACACAACATGCTCAATGCATTCCTCCACTTCGACCAACCAACTTGAATTCTACTAATAATATCTCCATCTATTTCACCATCACTTTGAAGAATAGACCTAAGATATCTAAAACGTGTACTCTTATTAATGACTTGATCACCCAAAGTCACAATCCCCCCACTAGAACTATTATTACTAAAATTATACTCCATATATTAATAAAATTTTAGATCTACTTAAACAAAAGCCTTTAGACTCTAAGGTTGACCTCCATAAGTCAAGTTTACATCCCATAAGTAAATATTTTTAAAAATTACATAACATACATTTAGAGAGGCTACATCACACTTTACTACATTATTATCTTCTCTTAACAGGACAAAAGTTACAATTAATTGCTTTACAACGCTTAACTTTGTATCTCTATGAATTCACCTCAAAGCATGCTAACTTGGTGAAAAGTGATGTCTAGTCCTATTTTTTTAATTAGACCTTTAGATATTAGATTTGAAACACTTCCAAATCCGACAATTGTACTGATGATATTGGATTTTACTATGATATTGAGCCTGAAGTGTTCCTCGTCTTGAAGTTGTCATTATCCTTTTTAATGGGTAGTTCCACCAAATCTCTAATTGTGGTGGTAAGAGTCATTTTGGACCCCTATCTATTTGGCATCTTTTCATGGTAAAGCTTCAAACAATTTTGAAATGCTTACTCTCCTCTTAATGCTTCTCATTATTAAGCTTACTATTTTGAGGTAACTCTAAGCCTTTGTTCTTGAGGCTAGTTGGATTTTTCTCCTAAATGATTATTTCCATTGATCTTCTTGAAGATACTGCCCACTCGAAAAAGCTGTAGTTATCATTGGAGGCCTTTATGCAACTTTGTTACATATTTCATAAAGACTGACTTAAAAAAAAGACTTCAAAGGTGATGACTTACTTATGGAACTCCATGGTATAATAATGAAAAAGCTTACTAAAGATTCTCTCTCACTTGTTGTCGTCAGATACATTGATAATCTTTGTAGTCAATTAGATAGAATTGAGACCTAAATTCTTTTGAATTAGATCATATAATTCCTGACAATTTATAACTTCTTGCAGTAAACATTGCACTGCATGAGTGCATGTAGGGACATGTTTAGTTGAGCAAATGCTATGATGCATGGACACGGACACGGCGACACGGACACGACACGACACGACACGGACACGGCACACGCGTGTCCAATTAGTTTTTAATATTTTTTTTAATCGGACACGTTTTTGGCTTGTCCGACACGTGTCGAAGGAGAGTCGGACGAGTGTCGTGTCGGACACTGCACGCCTCTTTGAGGAGAAGTGTCGGTGCATCATAGAGCAAATGAAACATGCTGAGTGTTATAGTATATATAGATAGGAAATATATTTCAAAAAGTTCGAAGAAATTGTTCACCTTCTCCCCATTAAATGAAATGTTGTATGAGGCAATTTCAACTATTGCATCAACTCTGAGTGAAAGTTGATGTTTGAAAAGAAAACCAGATTGATTTACTTCTCCCTCCTCATCCTTAGAAGGCATCTTCTAAGCACTATTTTCCTCCTCTTCAAGTGGCAGGATGATTGTGATTATTAGTGGCAATCTCAATATGTTTTGGAGATGCAAGTGTCCTCTCTAAATCCATCACTGCAATAAGGCTGGTTACTGGAATTTTTTTTAATTTTGTTTAATCTGCTTTCAAATCCCTTGATCTTCCATCTAGGGCTCTCATGTAATTATAGACTCACTAGCCTTAATTGGGTCTTGGACTATCTCCCTTGTTATTACCATTTTCAAAATATCACAAGTCACAACCTACAACAAGATCAACACTCTAACACCAACATGATATCATAAATGATGATTATTGATGAACGTCCTCCCAATCTAATATGATTAAGTTTATATGTTTCAAAGATTAGGAATTTTAAGTCTATTCAAATATTTTGTGCAGGAATTATTATGAAGTAGGATTCATGATGGATCTTTAAAACAAGTAACTAAGTTAACCTTTGTAAGGTAAACAACTTCAAACTATATTAAAATACGTTTTTAGTTAAAGTGAACAATTAATATGAGTATGAGTAATACACTTCCAATCAAAACCAATTAAATGAAGCCTTTATTGTTAATTTATTGTTAAGTATAATACACTTCAGAGGCTTCAAGAAATTAGAAGTCAATTGACGTCTAAACATTCTTCATGGATTCAAGGTACATAGCAGGTTGATACAAACAACCTAAAGCCAAAACATGAATATCCACCTATACTTGTGGTACTGTGTAAGGTTTTTGCTATGGTAAAAGAATCGCAAACCTGAAATAGTGACTCTAGTTAATGACAATCTCGTGAACCTAATAAGCATCTCTATGATGCATACAGAGACAAAACCAGCAGTAGAAAATGAAAGCACATCAGCAATCTATATCTCAAGATAAATGGAACCAGGGGCGGATCCACTATAAGCCCAGGGAGGGGCAATTGCCCCCTCTCAAAAATTAAAAAAAAAAAAAATTATTATATATTTCTTTAAGTAATTTGTCTCACTTCATCTATTTTTTAGTCTTTATAATAAGGATTTTTAAGCAATTGACCCCGCTAAAAGTTTTATAATACTATGATCTTTGTGTAAGGTTTTTGCTATGGTAAAAGAATCGCAAACCTGAAATAGTGACTCTAGTTAATGACAATCTTGTGAACCTAATAAGCATCTCTATGATGCATACAGAGACAAAACCAGCAGTAGAAAATGAAAGCACATCAGCAATCTATATCTCAAGATAAATGGAACCAGGGGCGGATCCACTATAAGCCCAGGGAGGGGCAATTGCCCCCTCTCAAAAATTTTTAAAAAAAAATTATTATATATTTCTTTAGCTAATTTGTCTCCCTTCATCTATTTTTTAGTCTTTATAATAAAGATTTTTAAGCAATTGACCCCGCTAAAAGTTTTATAATACTATGATCTTTAGACAATTGCCCTAACATAATTAAACACATTATGTAGATATGTTATTCTTAGGGAAATATGAACCAAATACAAGGAGAAATAGTAAAGAAAATCCAAAAGTATTCTTAAAACTAAAATTTGTTCTAGGGGCGCTGTCCTGGAAACCCCTACAGGGGTGCTGCCACATTGGACCCCGACATATCTCTGAAGCGTACATCCATCAAGGATACGAAAAAATAGGGGTTGTAAAGATATTTATGAAAAAAAAAAAAGAAATCTCTACACATTTAATTATAAGTTTGCCCCGCCTGAAAATTAAGGTTGGTTTCGCCCCTAAATGGAATTATGAGAGCCATACTAATTCGAAACTAAAAGATGAACAAAAGCAAACAGACAAGAAGATCTCCGCAAAATCCAGAACCTTAAACTTCCACCAAAATAAGCAAAAAATAAATAATATAAAAAATAAAGGGAGGGGGAATACCATTCCATCCTAGATCGTCATAAAACACAGAGATCCAACCAAAAATTAAAAATATCCAAAACTACAATCGACCGGAACAAAGCACAAAAAAGGTACCACAACGAGCTGTAGATCAAATCAAAGCAACCCAACCAAAAACAACTAGATTACTAGGCTTCGGGAGGAAAATAATCAATTCAAGTACATCTAGAACCAAGAACGGGTGAAAAGCCAAAAAACAGAAGGAAAACATTGTAGAATGAAAGAGATCGAGAATGTTTGACCATCTCCATCCTTGTCGAAGAGGCTGAAGGCCTCCTTGAACTCGGAGATCTGATCGTCCGTCAGCTGATCCGCCATAGCAACAAACCTCGCCGAGAGAGAGAGGAACGAAGGAAAGCGCGGAAACGAAAAAACTTAACGAGCACTCAACAGGAGAATGTGCGGCCCAGCCTTACAGCAGCGAGCTCCCGCAGCATCTGATGCGGTCCTGGTCCTCCTGGACTCAAAAGCGCGTCTCAATGATAAAAAAACTTATTTATCTTCCAATAAAACCCTCCAACTTTAAACTATTTATTCGTAGGGTATATAGATAATTCTGAAATTGCAATTTGAGCCTTGGTAATTCAATTATCATCTATTATCTTATTTATTTGACTTTGACCAGCTCTTTCCATTTTACATTTTTAAATATTATGATGGCGGATGCTCTCTGGGAAGGAAAAGTGGCAAAAATTCTGACGAATTAAATGCAATTATTAAATTTTATTCTATTACTTACCATAAAATTTCACTTATGGGGAAAAAGTTGCCATTTATAATGTTTTCACATGTCAAATTTTTGGCCCGCTAATTTTTATGGATATCTGTGTCATTAAAATAAATTCAAATACATATCCGTATATATAAACTTCGAACTCAATATATTTTAGTTAATAGATCAAAATGAGTTGTATTTGACCCACTTCTTAGTTATGCAAAATATTTACATAAACTGATTTTGTGTGATTGTTATTCAAAATGAATTGGAGTTTATTGAAAAGAATTAACGGGGAGCTCAACTTTATAATATATTGATTGAAAATAAATGATTTTTTAGGATAGTTTTCTCGTTGTTTTGCTTCTCAAACAGCAAGTACAGCTTCTTTTGACTATTACTTTTTTGTTATTTTCTCATTGCTTTATTGAATTTTTTATTGTTAAAAGTTGTTTTTAACAATCAGAATAATTAAGACTTCATTTGTGATTGTTTCCTTACTGTTTCATAAAGTAACTTTTTTAGTTAAAAAACTAAAATTTTGTACTAAAAAGCTGCTTCATGAAGCAATAAGAAAGTCGTCCCAAACAAAACCTAAGTTATTTTTTCCATAATAATTTTATTATCAACTTCATAATATATTATTGTCATCAAATTTGAGAATTTTAGGTTGGATTCAAGTATTTATCCCACCCAAAAAAGAAATTACTCAGTTTTATCACCTTTAGAGATTGTTATGGCATTATTATAAAACATTGTGTCTCGAACTTTTGGTATTAAAGCATCGTTCGGAATAGCATTCTTACTTATTTGCTTTTCAAAAAAACCGCTTTCTAAAACAACTATAAAAATTTACTTTCTCTACAACATCTTCACAAAACAGTAAGAAAGCTGTTTCCAACAAAGCCTAAATTGGGAGCAATTATTATTGATTTTGATCAAATAAATGCCTTAAAAAAAGCTCAAATTGGCTCAACCATTTGCAAATTGGCTCCTCAATTTTGAGTAAAGTTTGTGCATGATTGAATCAGTTAAGTCCAAGCCCAGACCAATTATTATATTACTTGTATTAGCGCAAGGAAGGAAATGAGTAAATAAAAGCACAGCCCATGTGGTAAATAACCCAAAGCATGTTGATGACCTTCATTGCTATCAATGTGCCCATCTATGGATGTTAAAAAAAAAATCTTAAATTTGTATTACCACATCTAATATTCAAATTTCATCATTTGCAAACCACGACATCCCTTCTCTTTCACTCAATTACAATTGAATTGTTAGTATCTACAATAACACGTCGAAACTTCCGAAAAAAGTTTATGTGCAAACACCTCGCACTGTAAGTCATGGCTTATATTTGATGTCAAAGATTTAATGAAATCGCTAAGCGATTGCGCTTCACATGTATCTTCCATCGAATATCATATCTCATTAAGGAGAGAGAAATGATGATGGGAGTAATTATAGACTAGTAAGATTTGCTTATTTTTTATTTTATGTGTATAACCTATTGATGTAGCCCATTGAGTTGCATGTACTATATGTAAGCTAAGCCTTATTACCTTCCTTCTAAGCTTTAACTAACCATAATTGTGATGTGATCCCTTTTGTTTTCATGTGTCTTAATCTAAGATTAGGTTAATCTAAATATGGTGCACCATCTTAGTTCATCAAAGTAGCAATTGAACAAAGTAGCCAAATGTAAGGCTGAGGCAGCCTCTTGGATCATGTGTTGGCCAAAATAAGATGAATTTAGAAGAAAATACTACAGCAGATTTTAAAATGTTTAATATTTTTTTTTTTAAATGTTTAATATATATATATAAACTACTATGGATTCTAGATAATCACCCATCATTGATATATCTTCACCAATATATTCTTAGGCTTAGATTTTATTTTAGACGGTTTTCTTATTGCTTTGTTTTTCATATTGTAATCATTATTTTTTTGTTACTTTCAAAAAAAAAATGTACTAAAATACTACTTTCTACAACAACTTTTAAGACATTTTTTGAAACAACTTTCTAAAACAGCTTTCTAATGCAAATATTTTTTTGAATTAAATATTTTTGTGCAAAAAAATTGTTTTAAAAAGCAATATAAAAGTTATCACAAACAAAACTTAAAACTCTATAGCAATTTTACAAAAAGAGTAAAAAAGCTGTCCCAAACGAAGTATTTACCGGCAAAAGAGTCTTCTTATATTGCTCTAAATCCTACAAGCAACCTAATATATAAAAAGAGCAAGAACTAAAAAGAGAGCGTATGATTTTACCACCTTATCTCTCTTCCATATTTCAATACCCATTAAACTACCAATCTTTTTACGGCCCATCAGTACGCAAGAAATGGGCTAAAATCAAAACCCATCGCCATCTAGTGTAACTTCTAACTCGAAAGCAGGCCAATTTGATAGCTCAAGGGAGAAATTATTCTATGCGGAGGCCGAACACAACTCTATTATAGAGGCGAATCATGTGTAGTCACGTCAGCAATACCGAGCCACGGTACCCAATGAAGAGGTTAAGTATCAAGATTCTGATTGATCTCCGGACAACATTTAGCATCCGCACAGAATAATTAATCCTTACAAGGATACCAACACAGATCCTTCTCCAACAAACAAGCAGGCAGTCAATCACTTCCCCCCATTCTCATTTTCAACAGAAAAGAAAAGGTACCTCCAAAGAGCCATTTGTTCCATCAAAATGAAAGTAAGCACTACAATTCCCTCCTCTTCCCTCATAAATTGTATACGCATCATAACAATCAGCAAGTTTAAATACTCACAGTAAACATATATCTAAAAAGAATATATAAGAGAAAATCTATATAAAGAACAAATGTAGGTATTTTAGTGTTCAAACAATCTGCAGGCTCATGACCTGTGAACCACTTCCTCAGGTACATCTTATAAGCCTCATCAATGAATAGGCATTCATGCAGTATTAGAGGTAATCAGAAGTAATCTATATACAAAACCCATCAACTTTAATGGAGGTTTGGAGTAGGACTTTTGAAGTTACCTTTTTACATGGAAGGCATAGAGGTAGAAAGAACCACATAAGACAGAAATTTCAGTGCATCCTGAATCTTCTCCAGGGCAGCTGAGCGGTCAACGTTAAGAAGGTTAGAGATTGTATTTGCTTTTTCTTGGACTGAGTTGGGCTGCTGTGGCGGCTCAGTAGGAGTAACAGGGGAGGCATTTTTAATGGCAGCTTGATATGCTTCCATTATGTCCGCTATGCCTGACAAATTATAGTAGGAGAGGATTATTCGGAGAGGGTTATCACAAAAAAATAGATAAAAGCATTTAGAATATCTATATCGCTTATTTAGGTTTTGTTTGAGATGATTTTTTTACTGTTTCTTAAAGCAGCTTTTTAGTAATTTTTTTTTTAATTTTTTACTAAAAAGTTGCTTTAAGAAACAGTAAGAAAGTCATCCCAAACAAAGCCTTAGTCAATGTGTCCAAATGAGTAGCATTTCCGTAGTCCATGGATACTTAATTCAATGGAATAAAAAAAGACTTGCAGGACTGTTCTTGAAGAGTGAAAAGGTTGCATAGATAATTTGTATGCATCCTTCGGTAGTCATAATACAGTATTTCCTCTGAAATGTGTGTTGTTGGATACGAATTATTCAAAGTTTTTTGCAAGTTGTGACAAAAACTTCTGGATCACTTGATGATTTTCTCCTTGGACCAACGTGAGATGTGAATCTTTAAATTAGCAACTTACACACTTCTTTAATCTAAACTGTTTTGTGACTGGTTTATGTGAGAGATCTTATGAAGTTCTTTATATACCTATTTTCATTCTGATAGTACGAATCTCCAGCATTGTGAGATTTTATATCTGTTCTTTGATTTCTTATAGGATTTTATATTTTGGAAACTTCTATACTATCAATTGGAATGAATTTATGTGATTTACAACTTTGCATCAAAAGTGATTAATCTTTGCCTAAAATAAGAGTTGGAAAACAGCAAATCATTTATGTTTTTTCTTTTTTTTTGCTACATCATTCTACATTGTATTAATGAATCCTAGACCTAAGATGTCATGCATGACCATTGGTGCACTTGAACAAGCTCCAGGATGACTTGCTTGCTTAGTAGTAGAAGGATCAACATTAGAATTTCATTTAAAGCCTCTGGCCATTGTAGTAGTGGTGCTTCCCACGGAATCTATGGGTGCTCCAGAACAGGCTAGAGAGGTCACATGCCAACATTATAGTATTCTCGCTGGGAACCAAACCTATTAGAAACGTAAGTGTCAAAGCAAGTCTCCAGTTCATAAGCAAGGTGAAGTGTCTCCTCTAAGAACTGAGGTAAAATCTACAGAAGTTTGATTGCAAGCTAGACTTAAATCTGGATAAGGTAACTTATAAGACCATTTATGCCGTAATAATCAATTATCGTCTAGGACAGTCATATAATTATCATAATCATAGCCTCCTGTCGCAAATTGGTTAGATATTCCATCAAGAATCCTAAAAACTCATTAAGATATGTTTCTTTTTAATAGTTGTGTTCATTTCATCCAAGTTCAGTATCAAGTCATAGCACAATCTCAAGTGTCACCCCCTAAACATTAGTCCAATATACTCCTTATTGACCAGTCAACTTTTCTTTGACAAATCAAACCCACCTAATGTTCAATGTTGTGCCAGTCAAATATAACCCGTCACACATCAAAGGAAGATAAAGAAAATTAAAAAAAATCTAAAGAGAAAAAAGGATATTCATATAAAATCATTTCCCACTTCTCTTGAGAAAGCATATTATTGAGTACCAAAATAATTGATTTGGTGCATATTAAGGAAAAGTGTGAGTTAAAGTAAGTGTAAGTTATAAAAGATATCTATAATGAAGCGCTAACTAATATTAGTAGATAAGGAGACCATAAAATTTTCAATTATAGCAGGAATACATCAAGCATCAACATTGAGTCCATATATTTTTGCAACAGTTACAGAGATGCTTACGAAAGATATTAAAAGTGAACTGTCGTGGTATGTGCCTATTACAAACGACATAATTCCAATTGATGAGCATATATTGAAATAAGTAAAAATTTTGAACAATGAATATTTAGAAACTAAAAAAAACTTATAATTAGTAGAATAAAGCTAAGTATATACAATTTAATTTTAATAGATGTGATATTAATAATTATTAATCAAACTAATCATAAGAAAAAGTGATACCAAGATATCATAATTTAAATATAAATGGATTTATTATATAGAAAAATCAGGATATATATAACTTCTAAACAAAAACCAAAAAGTTAATATATATCTATATGAAAAAGTGTCATCGGAGTACAATGCAATAAGAGGATATATCATAGAGACTAATAGAATAATTTATAAAATTACAATTAAGCTAGAACGTTCTATGAATCAAAGAGTTGGCCAATAAAAAAAGTGTTGATAAGAAAATTTAGCATGACAGAAATGAGAATGTTAAGATGGGTATGCTACAAAACAATGAAAGAGAACATTAAAAATAGTTATATTAGAGGAATATTGATTTTTTAAAATAAATCAAATAAAATTTACTGATGTAGCTTGGACATGTTCAACAAAGAATAAAAAATACGTAAATTATATGTGTAGACAAAATTAGTGTCAAAGGATTAGAAGGTAATGAAGTAGACATTAAATAACAAAAATAAAAGTCTTTCAACAGGATTTGAAAAGAATAAGTTTAACACCTAAAGAAGAAACTAGTAGTTATATGAAAAATGAGGATTCACAAAGCTGACACCAAATAATTGAGATTGAGCTAATGATGATAATGATGAAAAGTATTTTGAATTTCATCATCTTTGTTATATGATTGTCTAGATTATGGTCAACATGCTTAGGGTGATTGCAATAACCTTATGGTGAACGCATCATGCATAGGATAAAGTTTATAGCATAAAACTTTTGGTGGTTTATCCTATCATTCATGGGTAAAGATTCATAGGATAATGTTATGAAATTGATGTTATATATTGTTAGCATGAAATAGTCATTGCCACTTCACTGAAATGGACACACTACTCGGAAGTTTGTTTCCCATGATCATAAAAACCATGAAAGAGATGCATCATAGCACTTTTTGGTAGCAGTTTTCCCTTGCAAACCAAAACTTTGATTTCAAATTTTTAAAAAGAAAAATAGAATTAAAGCATAGCCAATAAAGGACTAGTAATCAAGGCGGTTTATCCTCACATATAAGTACATATCCTAGAGCTCAACGAAATGGGCAAACTTGTATCGACCAAAAAGGAACTCAAAAGGTCTACCCAACCAATCAAAACTCATCATGGGCCTAGTGTTGATGCACAAAATCATGTCCAAGTTCAAGTTTCAGAGTAAGGTCAATAGTGGTGAACTTCAAAATAGTATTCCGAATATTAGCATGTGGCCAATTTAGTCTCAAACTATCACATTATTCCAATTTGGCCACTCGACTATACAAAAGTGATCCACAATGGCACATTTGGGGTTAAATTGGGATCAATTTTATATATTTGAGGGACAAAAATGAGATCAATTCTATATTACAATCACAACATAAGGAATCATTTTTTATAATTTTGTATAGTTGATGGGCTAAATTAGAGTAACAAGATAGTCTGAGACTAAATTGCCCACACGCAAATAGTTTGGGTCTATTTTAAAATTTTACTAAAGGTTAATATAATCAAAAGTGTACACATCATCACATTATTCTCAAAAGATTTCCAATCTGGGTCTTCTCCTTGGCATTATGGATACATAAAAGTTTTAACATGATCTAGAGTCCTAACTTTACAAGGGTGGCAAGTCAACACCAATCAAATGTTTCTGAATGAAGGCAAGGTTGTCGATGAAGCACACATAAATTGCCTCAAAGTTTTCATGAAGGTCAAACAAAAGATTATGACATTGTCAAAAAACTATCCTAACAATTAGTGTTATGTTAGGAGATCGTGCCTAAAAGACCTAGGTCCAATCCCAATATGATACACGAAAAGATTATGATAAGTTTGTATATAAGTATGCATCGATATAAAAACTCTTTATACAACCTAATATAATAACCTTTTCATACAATAAAAAAACTAAAATAAGATGATCATTATCATGATTACCAATATCTTTCAACCAACTATTTAAAGCATTATTAATCCTTCTCCATTGATTCCTATTGAGTGCTACATGAAGTCTAAGTTCTATTTTTTAAAATCTATTTAACCAACTCAAACTGTGTTATTTTTATTCCTCTATTCTACCTCATAGCTATACCAAAATAAATCTATCCACTCAACGGAATACTAAATGATGAAAGAAGAATCATTTTGTTAGCAAATTAAATATGTAAAAGTAGACAAATATGAAAAAAAAAAAAGCTATTTTGAATTTCATTACAAAGTTTAAAAGTATTTATAGATTTCTCCAAAAGAATTACAATGAAAACAAGTCAAAGTTATTAACAAAAAAGGAAAAAAGTTCGACAAGAGGGGTTGGGCGACTAGAATATGAAAATGAGACACAAATTGCAAGGGGCCATAAGAGAATCAATCCAACAAATATAACCCTTAATCCATATGCTTAAAGATCCCTACTAAGATTGGTTGACTTGTTGGTCCCATGATCCTTCAACACTCACTCCCAAACTAAATGGTATAAATATAGTATTTCGAGTTTGCTTGCAATATTTTGAATGTGAGATAAAGTTTTGGTGAAAATGTCTACAAGTTGGATTCCTATTAGGTACATATGGAGCGCAATCAACCCACTTTCCAATTTTTCTTTTTTAAAATACTATCCATCTCCATATGCTTGGTATGATCATATTGAACTGAATTGTGAGCATTGATGATGGCAGATTTGTTATCATAGTGTATCTTAATATGTCCCAGCCATTTGATTTTTAAAGCTTTTAAAATAATTTTAATACATAAAAGCTCAAAATTTTGGGACAATAGCTCTTACTTCAGACTCAATGTTAGGTCTTAAAATAAAAATAAAAAAAAAAATCTTGCTCTTACATGTTATAAGATTTCCTTCAAAAAAAAAAAAGTATAGTATCCAATTGTGAATTAATGCATGAAAATTTCAGTTTATTTTCGTTTTCTTTTATTGTAATTTGAATGCTATAATTTTTTTTGATTTTTTTATGCTATCCTATGATGGAAAACATCAAATGATCATGAGTATGTAGTGCTTGGGCATGGCAAATCTTGGGTGTGCTAGCTACTTGATT